TTACTGATTGGTTCCTTGGAGATATCGAATGTTTCATATGCTCTGATTGGATTACAATCACAATAGGCGCGTGCTCGGGACGTGGGTGATTGATAGCCTGCGTAGCAAGCGTTTCCAATCGAGTTATTGCGCGAAAGTTCCTTCTTTCCCCTCCCCCTCCCCCGTAATCCTTTTCTTTTTTTTGCCCTCGTCCTAACTTTCTCGACTAAATCGCGCGGAAACGCTTGCTACGCAGGCTAGTTGATTGAAGGTGACAGTTTAAATCAAAACAATCCAAGCACATATCACGTAAGTTTTCGCTTTTTGAAGAGAATTGGAAATATCAGATGCCTGTACGAACAAAAGATTTAGATAAGGCAATAGCCGAAGTCATTGGAACATTCGAGGAAGTGGAGGAAATAATTGCGTTACTAAGAGAGGGCATTGTAAATTATCTTCAAAGGAAAGGCATTGGCGGTCTTGCCGACCGGCTAGATGGAAAATCACTGCTGTTCCAGTTACTACCTGGCATGATGCAGTGTGTAAAAAGGGGCTCGGCAGGCAACACACGACTTTTACCTCCTGCCAAAATGCTGCTTGTTCCAATGAATTTTTTCTCCAGCGGGTAGATTATGACTGAGCAAATGCGCAATATTCTTGTCTCCTGTTTCATACTGAGAGGTCGTGACACGCTGCGTATTGATTTTCTGCAGTTCATTTCTGGTCGGAATGATTTGCCCTTTCATGCGAGTCGAGAGCATTTACTTTGACCTCTTTTGAAACGTAAACTTCTTCATTGCGGCTAAGTTTATTTTTCTTTGAGTAAGTAAGTAATAACCTTATTTAACCACGGAATCCTTATCACTAAACAGTGGTCTTCTAAAGAGCCGTGCACATTTAACTATGACTTAAAAATAACAAACATTATTGAAAAAATCCTATAATAAATGCCTATTAAGAAAATCTTAATGTACAATAGCGGAATAAAGGCAATTTAAAGTAGTGGCCTGCTTAGCCTCAGCTGACAGTCTGTTCCATGTTACTGCGCCCCTGTAAAGAAAACTTTTCTTTAGGGCCTCAGTGTTCGGTCGCGGAATAAACAGGTTATGTTGCGCACCTCGAAGATTTATGCCTGGGAATGGTATTAACTTTTAGGTTGTCTAATTTTCTCCAAAGTGCCTCCTGGATCTGAATGACTAAAAGTGATTTTCTTTTATCCGTGCATGTGAAGGTTTCCTGCAATGTTCCGTCACGCTCGGCCCAGCTCGTTTGTAGTTTTTGCAGGATGTTTAAAAATTCTCCTCGGTGATTTACAGATCCAAATTTCGAGAACGGATTGCAGCTTAAGCTAAAGCTAGATAAAATATGGAGAACTGAACTGTGACAAGATTAGCAATGATTTTTAAACTCGGACCAGCTTGTTTTTCTAAAGATGATGTCGCTCTTTAGGCTAGAGCGCGCCGTTCCTCCCTTGGCAATTACTTTTGAATTAGCTTATCAGTCTTGCGACCGCCGGTTTGATTGACAGATTAGAGACAAGGTCAAGGCCCATATAGCACTGTAAATCAGGGCGCTCTGCGCCCGAGGTTTTTCTCGCGGCTTCGCCGTTCGTGTCTTCGGCCTTCGGCCGAAGACGTGTCGGCCTGTGCCGCCGAAGCTCCTCGTCGCACGCGAGAAAGAAAATTCTGGTACCCAGGGTACAATCTGTTGGGCGCTATCGAAGCAATCACTTTGTATTCTCAAAGAGGTTTATTTTTAAGGAATTTGACTATAATTGAGGGGGGGCGTAAGGGGGGTCCGAAAACCGCAAAACCGCACAGAAATACGCCAAAAAACCGCAAACCGCATCGGATTTTTTCCCGAATACCGAAGCGTGCATGTAGGCCACAATATGAAAGCTGACGTCAGCAAGACTTGTGATATATTCTGATAACATTGTGCGTTAGGATTAAACATACCATCATAACGCTAACGATATATTTCATCACACTATTATACTCTAATTACTACTAACCAAATGCCAAGTATGCTGATCATGTACTTGAACGAGTATCGATATCTCCCTTGACTTTGAAAAACTCTGTCACTGATCCTGAACGTCTTACATTGGGTGACTGATTACTTTGGACGACCCTGTGCTAGTTGTGGAACGCAGAATAAATGTTTCTTCTGGAATTGTGACCTTCTTGTCTCGTAAAGAGTTCACGTTCAGTGGAGAAGACGATTGTTAAAACGTACAGCTCTTCTGAAATTCTCCCCTTCCTTTCCTTCTTCATGGAAGATTGCCACGCAATTAATTATTACGTCCTCTTCGCTTTCAGTTGCGACCTCGACGACCTCAGTTGCCATTGTCGCGCAAAGAATCAAAACAACGAGAACACGAGGCTGTACGGCTGTACGAGCTAACATCCGGCATGGAATTTTACGAAGTCGACGCATCAGCCAAAACGGTTAATCACATTAAGTATTAACTGGAAAGGCCGTAATTGCAAACCACAGCGTTAAATTGTAAGCTGATATAATAAACAACCGGATATGATGCCGACCGTTCTAAAGACTGTTATCACCGCAGACACTTTTTTTCAACGAAAACCGCGACTTAAAGGTTGTAATAACCGCACACCGCTTAGTGTTTTCAAAACGCAATACCGCGAGTTAAAATAAAATTACCGCAAAACCGCATCACCGCAAACCCTTACGTCCCCCTCTTTGCACACACGACCGTTCTTCTTTTTGGAAATGTTAATGAATAATCGAAAGATTTCCTGTTTTTGCAATCAACCGCGATTTATCTTTGACCTAAAATGAATGATTTTCTGGGATCGCCAGGGGGCAAAAATTGCGAGTCGCTACAAAGACGAAAATGTATAGCGTGGAGTTGTTTCTCCGTTAAAAGCGATGTCTTTGGACAGAGAATGCCGCATTTTGCCGTGATTTTATGAGAAACGGAGGTGACTAATGTTGGGGCGTTGAAATTTCAAGTTTCTATATTCACACTGGCGCGAGTAATGTACAGTACTGCAAATGATCCCCAACCGCAACTGATCCCGAGACCGCAAATGATCCCCAAAATGGACCGCAAATGATCCTCGACCGCAAGTGATCCCCAAAGTCGACCGCAAATGATCCCGTAAGAAAAATAGGAATGACTTGGACTCAAGAGTTAGCGGATCATCGTGTCGATTTTATTGTTATTACAAAACGACAGATTAAAAGCTAAATTTTACTTCTCAAATAAATCTATGAATAAAAACTAAATGAAAAAAAAAATCATTCAAGTGTAAAAACGAAGTCGGTAGGCAACAGAGGACTTTTACCTCATGCTAAAATCCCGGATCCGAATAATTATAGGCGGTTTTCTTTTTCGTCCGTGAATGTGACGGTTTCCTACGATGTTTTGTCACGCGATAACTACCGCTTACCTTACCTCAATTGCTTCAATTTTCTTTCAAGAATGTTTCGTCGCTGAAAAATTAGGACGTTACGCAGAAAAGACTCTATTATTTTAACGCCTAGAAGCTGAGGAATACAAAGCCGGGCACCCTCTACATAACAAGAGCTTTATTGACTTTACTGATCTTTTTCAAAGTGTGAAATTAATTTTCAGAATATTTAATTTTGATTTTTCTCTGAAGTGTTAATTTTACGTGATAAACAGCAAGACATTTGATCGTAACTTAGGTGACCGTTACGAAACAAGACATGATTTAACACAAACACAAGTCAAAATGCCCCCGAACTTATCAGTGTCCACAGGTTTCTGTTTAATTCCAAATAGCAACTTTCTTACAACTCATGAACATGTTGCGAATAGTTATATTGACGCTTTTATGTATATTCATTTGTTGTGCTTTGCTGAAGACAGTTACCAGGAATCTAAACCTGGTAATGAGAAACGCAAAAGCGAGGTAAGCGATAGTTACCGCGTGACAAAACATCGTAGGAAACTGTCATATTCACGGACGAGAAAGAAAACCACTTATAATTATTCGGATCCAGGAGGCACTTTGGGAAACAATAACAACCTAAAACCCTTAATTAGCAGCAATGAAGGGCACTGCATTTCAAAAGAGGTCAAAGGAAATGCTCTTGCATCAAAGGGCAAATCATGCTGACCAGAAACAACAATAACCGCAGAAAATGCGTGTCATGACCTCTCAGTATGAAATAAGCGGCAAAAATTACATTTGCTCAGTCAAAACGTTTTGCTCCGAGGTATAATCTACCCGCCAGATCCGGAAAAAATTCATCGGAACAAGCAGCATTTTAGCATGAGGTAAAAGTCGTGTGTTGCCTACCGACTTCGTTTTTACACTTAAATGATTTTTTTTTTTCATTTAGTTTTTATTCATAGATTTATTTGAGAAGTAAAATTTAGCTTTTAATCTGACGTTTTGGTAATAATAATAAAATCGACTCGATGATCCGCCAACTTGAGTCCAAGTCATTCCTATTTTTCTTACGGGATCATTTGCGGTCGACTTTGGGGATCACTTGCGGTCGAGGATCATTTGCGGTCCATTTTGGGGATCATTTGCGGTCTCGGGATCATTTGCGGTTGGGGATCATTTGCGGTACTGTACAGTAATTTCCGGTCGGCGCTCGTGACCTCAAGAACGTCTGCTGCTTAAGCTCTCCAATAAAATGTTCCCAAGTAAAATTTTGAAAAAGTCGCTAAGTTTGGTAGTGAAAAAATTAAGTAGCGAAGGCTATAGAGATTAGAAGAAGAGGGGCAGGTAGGGCGGTTTTGGGCTCAAAGGCCAACCAGGTCTGAATAGGCCTAAAATACAGTGCTAAAAGTGGGACATGTTTTGCTATTGCCGATTACCATAAAGTGTTAACCATTTAAACCCCGCGAAATACAAGGAGCAGCACTTTAATTTGAAAGTGACATAATTCAAGGAAGGGGACCTTAAAAAAAAATGTTATCTATAACATATTCCGTGACTTCTAAATCTTATAAACAAAGGCAAAGAAAAAACAACATAAATCAGCACAACCTTTTATTTCAGCATATAAGGAAACAAACTCCTAAAGCTTACATTTCTCCACATCAGCTCTATGCTACTATAAGCTGACCTACGTTAAACAGTGGAGCAACCACTGTTTCGGCTGTCCCGTGTAGCCCTTATTCTATTTATTTCAGCTACGGAGAGGTGTACACTCTCGTGCCAAACAACTCATCTAGGGCCAGTAACAGATCAGCAATTAGCCATACAATAAACTTGATTCGCCCAAGGTCCACCTTCGCCATCAGAGCCGCAAGCTTTAGACTTTCCATACTTGTCAAAGGTCTCTGGTGCTGTAGCACTGGCTGCACACCAGCCACCATGCTGAACTGCAAACATGCTGTAACCAGCTCTAGATGCAGCCACGGCGCACTTTTCAATGGGGTTCTTTCGAGTCCAATATGCTCCATCCAAAATAGGATCCTTTCCTTCCATGGGCTGGATTGCTCGGTTTAAGGTGTCCTTGTAACATCCAATAGATGCTAAAATTTAATCAAAGTTAAAATATCAAAGCTGATATCTCTTGAAGGAGTGACTGAGGATTACTTGACGTTTTTTGTTGAAACTTTTGTGAATAAATTCCTTTTCATAGTTTACCATAACAGTAAAGTCTGCACACACTAACACACTAACCTTTGATAACATAAACTTGATTAGCCCATGGTCCGCCTTCGCCATCGGATCCACAAGCTGTAGCCTTTCCATACTTGTTGAACGTCTTCCCTGCTGTAGCACTGGCTGCACACCAGCCACCATGTTGAACTGCAAACATGCTGTAGCCTCTTCTCATTGCAGCCGCGGCACACTTTGCAATGGGGTTCTTTCGAGTCCAATATGCCCCATCCAAAATAGAATCCTTTCCTTCCAAGGGTAGGATTGCTCGGTTTCCGGTATCCCTGTAGCATCCAATGGATTCATACCCTGAATATAAAAGAAACTTTGATATAAGACCAGGGCCTGCGCAGGGGGGGGGGGAGCAAAAGGCCTTACGGCTCCCCCCTTCCCCACCCCGTTTGTGTCATGCAAAAAAGTATATTCTTTCCTAAAGATCTTCATTAAAGAAATTCAGTCTTTGATAATAGACTAAGGATCTGGTTCTCTGTCCTAACCACAATAAGTCTTCAGTACATGAATCCTATGAATTAGCCGCTGCTTGAAGATTGGAAAATGCCTTAGAATTGCGGATAAAATAACTTCAATAATTTTCAGCAAAGGTGGAAAAAATAGCATAATCGTCCG